TCTCACCCCTTTTTTTCCGCCTGTTGGTCTGTAGTAAAGGTCCATTTCTCACACGTACTGGTCGGCACCCCCGCTCTTGCCAAGCAGGAGATAAGGAACGAAGGAGGTACGGCAGTATTGGCAGTAAAAAGAGCGAAGAAACCAAAAAAAAACAATAAAAACAAAAAAAACAACAAAAACAAAACAAACGTGAAATAAGAAAACAAAAACAAACAAAAAAATAAAAAAGAACAAATTTGAAGGTCAGAGCAGTTGTGCCTCTCTCTCTCTGTGTGTGTGTGTGTGCCACTGGCAGATAGGGCGACGCAGCAGCTATAGCCAGATTGCAGAGCACTGGTAGGAACGAGGAAGCAGTAGCAGCAAAACAGGCATACATTTGGGGTTAATATATATATATACATATATATACACATATATATATATCTTTATTCTCAACATTTCATAGAGCGATGCTGTACGAACACACCACCGATATTAGCAGCTCTCGCGGGGCCACTGTCCGCTACCTTATTGCAGCAGCCACGAAGAACACCTTGCAAACGACACTCCAGACATTAGAAAAAATGGCCAATCATTCGGTTGAGCTTCACCGTTTTATTATCATGGCGGCAGTCTCGGCGATGTGGAAGTCGCCGCAGAACGAGGAGAAGTGCACCCTCGCCGCCAAGCTTGTGAGCGCGGCACTGGAACGGAGCAACGCCCTCACCTTGGTGGCAACCGCCGTTGAGGAGTCACAGACGTTAGTGACGACGGAAATCCTTACAAATTTCATGGTAAAGGAGCTGAAGCTCTCCCCGATTCAGCAGCTGCAGTTTTCCATGGGACTTTTTCTTGGTGGCGGCAAGGGCAAAGAGGCGGCAGCGGGGTTTCTGAACACGTTCAACGTCTCCCCCGCCACCTTGAAGGACGACAACGGTAGCACGTGGGCCCTGGGCATTCTGGCACGGCAGGCCGGTAGCGTGGAGTCTCTAGATAAGCAACTGTCCAACGCATTTAGCAGCTTGACGTTGTTCCCGAATAACGGCGTCGCCGACACGCACGTTAGTCTATCCAAAACCATACAAGAGCTTGGGACCGCGTGCGTAGCGACACAGGCCGATTGCCGGGAGTTACTTAGCTTCTTTCCACACCCCTTCACGGAGAGCGATGTGGCGGAGGTGCTAGGCTTCTTTGCCTCGCAGGGAAGTGCGCCGTCGGACGTCAACACCTACAACGCACTGATGTCTTTGGCCGGGAGGGAGCCGACGAAGACGCAGCACAGCGCCACCATCTCGCCCATCCCTCTGCTCGAGCTGTTGCAGGAGCGGAGTTCGACCAAGATGGACTGGGACACCATCCTCCGCCTGCTGGATAAACCCGGTGAGGAGGCCTTCCGACAAAAGCACGTTGCCATCGTCTTTGACGCGTACTACAAATTCAAGGGGGCTGGTACGCCAGGCACGTACCCGCCGCTGACGATATTTCTCGGCCGCTGGAACAACGTTGGGCGCCAGCGCAGCGCCCTTGACTACATATTGAAACACCCCGAGAAGGTCTCGCTGCAGTGCCTCCCACGGGACCAGATGGCGCCGGCAGAGCTACTAGAAGCCGCCTCTGCGGCACCGACGTCGGCTTCCCCCGCGACCACGACAGGCACCACGCGCCTGGCCGAAAGCGAGTTGTGGCGCTTCTTTCCCGTGGTGGAGGCTGCCGTGCACGTCGCTAGCCGTGACCGCAAATTCGACGTGGAAACCCTTCGCCCCGCCGCAGAGCGCCACCCGTTGTTGTTGTTCTCTGTCCTGCTCTTTGGCACTTTTCCCGGAACGGTGAAGAACTTCAGCACGGCGAAGTTGATCCTCAAGGAGCGTTGGCTTTCCCTCGACCGCGTCGCAGCCGTCGTCCTGCCTGAGGCGGAAAAGCGTGGGCGGCTGGACGCCGTCATCATGGTTTTGTCGGAGCTGACTATGGTGGACGCAGGCTGCACGATTGAGGTGATGGAGACGGTGCTGAAGTCAAAGACGGCCGTCAAGGCATTTCTCGCGGGCGGCGGCAACCCACGACTTGTCACAGCCATTGCAATGTGCGTTGACGATTCTGCCGAGCCTGGCGACACGTGGATCAGTAAGGCGCTTGAGGGAAAGCTGCACTTCCGCGCCAACGCCGCTGAAAATCGGTTTGCTGTGGCCATGTCTATTGTCGAGGTGGCGGAGCAGCTCATCACCAAGCAAAAGTATGTGTCCAACGCGACGGCGGCACTCAATATATTCCTAGCCTCCTCATTGAAGGATGTGTTACGCGATGTGGCGGAACAGGCACGTGCCTTGTTGGCGTCCTCCGACTCACTTTTTCCCTCGGACGTTGAGAATGATGCGAACGAGTTCTACAGGCGCATGTACGCCATGGGAGACCCGACAAATGCCGCCTCGCTTTCATTTATTGAGCAGCTTCGGAAAAGCTCCAAGGCCCGTGATAAGCAGCTGTATGCCTGTATTTTGAGCATCATGTTCGAGGAACACAGTGCTATTGGCTGCTACCCACACAAGGAACTGCAAATGTTTGCTGTTCTGTATGGGCAGATGATTGCACGTGAGCTGCTGCCGCCCAATCAGCAGCAGCATGCGTGGGGTCTGCTGCTTCCCACCATTGTCAAACCCAAGGACCACATGGTGGAGGAGTGCGGGATTATCGCCTTGGAGCAGATCAAACCACGGCTGGCGGAGTGGCCGCAGTACGGGCGTGCGCTGCGCTACGTGAAGGACCTTGACATTAAGATCCCAGGCATTATGGCCGCCATCAACCGCGGCATTAAGGCAGAGGAGGCCGCGCGTCAGCAGCAGAGCCGACAGACGCCGCCCGAGAAGCCAGCGACGAAGGAGGCGGAGTCGCTGCTCTCGGATCCGGCTGTGCTTGCGGTCAGCACCGAGCGCCGTGACGCGATGGCGGCGGCGGCAGATCATCAGAAGGAGCGCTCCGCCGCCGCGACGCTGCACCAGCACGACATTGGGACCCTGCTGTCGTCCAGGAACATCACCGCCCCTCCGCGCGTCATTCAGGAGCAGATTAACTTCCTCATTGGTAACACAGACATGCACAACATTGAGCACAACGCCAGTGAGCTTGCCAAGCAGCTGCGTCCTGAGTACTATGAGTACTTTGCAGAGTACCTCGTGATCAAGCGGGCGGCGCTGGAGCCGAACTACCACAGCATCTACCTGGAGTTGCTGGATAAGCTGCAATCAAAGCCGCTGGAGAAGGCGATACGCAGCGCGACAGGTGGCGTCCATCAAGCGACTGCTAATCTCCGACAAGATTCGCGCCGACCCTGGCGAGCGCAGCCTGTTGAAGAATCTCGGCTTTTGGCTGGGGCATCTTACGCTGGCGAAGAACATCCCCATCACGGTGCAAGAGCTCTGCTTCAAGGATTTGATCTTCATGGGCTTGCGGGAGGGGAAACTCATGGCGGTGGTGTCCTGCGTCTCACGCGTACTGCACCACTGCATGAGCTCGCACTTCTTTTGCCCGCCCAACCCGTGGACGATGCGGCTGCTGTGCCTGCTGTGGGAGATGTACAACCTGAAGCACCTGCGTGTGACGCTGCGGTTCGAGGTGGAGGTGCTGTGCAAGCACATGAACGTGTCACTGAAGGACATTGAGCGCTACTACACGCTCCACCCCATCAGCCCCACCGCCCAGCCGCGCCTGTCGGACGTATACAAGGAGATCAACTTTCACCAGAGCGGCGACTTCCGCGTGGACGAAAAGGAGCTCCAGGAATCCTCCCCGATGTTGCCGCCACAGCAGAAGACGCAGCAGCAGCAGCAGCAGCAGCAGCAGCAGCAGCAGCAACAACAACAACAGCAGCAGCAGCAGCAGCCGCCGCATGCAATTCAGCATGTGTCGCAGGAACAACAACAACAACAACAACAACAGCCGCGCCAGACGCGCCAGCTGCAAGCCAGTGCAGAGCCGTTCAAGCCAAAGGATGTGATGCCGGTTGCAAATGCCATGCCCAGTGGGGAGAGTGTCGTGCCGGGGCATCCACCGATTCTGATTACACCCGAGAACGTGCGGATCAGTGACGAAGATGTGAGCTTTTTTGCGAATCGCCTGGACGCGTACAGAGGCGCGCTTGCTCGCACGCTCGAGAAGATTGTGCAGGACGCCAAGATGCCACTACAGCGCATAGTGGTGGTCGCCACGGTGACGGCGTGCAGCCTCGTCACGAAGGACTTTCTGCTTGACCAAGACATGGGAGGCATGCTGCGCGCGGGCCAGTCAATGGCACGCTCATTGGCGGCAAACCTTTGCACCGTCACCGTCCGTGAGATCATGATTGAGCCGTTTAACAGGCACGTCGCTGTGCTGGCGGAGCACTTCATCGACGCCAGCGTCCCCAACGCGGCGGAGCGGCGCGACCGACTCTGCATCAAGGTGCGAGAAAACAACATGGAGTTGTGCGTTCGCGTGTTGGAGTACCAGGCGGCGGAGGAGGCGGAAAAGCGCGTGCACGACAAGCTCATGCAGACGGTGCGGGAAAAGCTGGAGGCCATTAATGCCCACGAGTTTCCACGCATCCCCAACGAGTACTACGCGGTGCAGGACATATTGTTGCAGATGGGTGAGGTGCTGCGGCCCCCGCGCAATGTTCCACCGCTGCAGCGGGCAGTGTACGAGGAGTATAGAAACAACGTTCCCATCGTCGGACTACTGGCGACGTTCCTGAGCACCATTGAGGAGGCCACCGTGGCGCACTACTCGAAGGAGAATTGCAAGACCCTTTCCCTCACCAGCCCCGAGTTTAGGAATAAGTTCCTGGAGGACAGCCAAGACACCATCCGGGCGCGCGTGATTAACATCTCGAACATGATTACGAGTGACACGGCCTTTTACTGCGTGGGCCACCTGCTGAACAAGCTGCTGGCGCTCTCGGATGCGATGAAGCAGATGGAGACCAACGCAGCCAGCATGGACCCAGACACCATTCGTCACAGAAACGTCTGCGAGTTCCTTAACGAGGTCTTCCTCTTCGTTCTGCAGACCTGCTTTGAGCGCGGCAAGGAACCCGTGCGGGAGGAGCTGACGCGGCTCTTTTTGCAGGACGAACGACGCTGGCGCGACGCCGACCTGGTCACCAATCTGCTGCGCATCAGGGTCATCAACGTGGCGAAGCTTGATGAGGTGCTCTCCAAGGCAATTGAGGATGCCCCGATGTCGGGGCCGGCGGTGGCCTTTGCCGGGAGCATTATCAGGAAGGCACTCATCACGGAGAAGCTCATAGTCCCGAAAAACATGAAGGACACACTGGCACAACTAGAGAAGGTGGCACACCCGCAGCGGGCGGCGGCGGACAAGCAGCAGCAGCCCCACTTGCAGCCGCAACACCCACACCACCACCAGCAGCAGCAGCCCACGCAACAACAGCAACCCCCGGAAGGCGCCGCGGCGGCCGCGGCGGCAGGAGGTCAGACCCCACCGGTAATTGATTTGTACCCGTTGCTTTCCTCCCTGGTGCCGCCGCACGTCCGGCGGCTGGTTGTGTTGTCACAAATGCAGCACGACCCAGAGGAGGTGGAGAAGGTTCGTCGCCTGTTTGATGAGTGGATGGAGATCAACGGTCAACGGGCACATGGGACGTCATCGGAGACTGCCACCTCCGCCACGACCGCGTCGTCGGGGACGACGCCAAGCAGCAAGAACCCCCCACAGTACGAGTACATTTTGACCCTTCGCAAGCAGGGACAACTGGACACCCACCAGCTTGGAAACTTCCTGAGCCTTTCCATCCGCTTCTGCGTGGAGTACTACGCCACGAAAACGTTGGAGCTGGAGCGCGCCAGCCCGTTGCCGACGCAGAATGCCTTAACGGCCGAGTGGAAGCCCGGCAACGCCCCTCCGCACCGCTACCCCTACGATGGCAGGGTCTTTGCAAAGGTAGACGCGTTTTCGGATTTGGCGACGGTGCTGCTGTACTACTGCTCCTTAAAGAACGACACCCGCCAGCTTCTCTCCCTGCTGCGGCGTATTCTGGACGCCTTTCAGCGCACCCTCATCGACCATCACCAGAACGTGGTGGCGCAGCTGCAGCAGAAGCAGCAGCCTCCCTTCACCAAGCCGGAGCTTCCCGCCGACACAGCCTTTGTGCCTGTCTTCCAGCAGCAACCGTATGTGCGTTTTTTCAGTAACCTCTTCACGACGCTGGTGCGCGCCGATGCCCCGAACCGCGAGACGACGGAGCAGGTCACTCACGTCTTTGCGGAGTTGCTGCACCGGTTGTCGCCGATGAAGTACCCCGCATTCGCCTTTGGATGGTTGGAGCTTGTGAGCCACCGCATCTTTCTCAACCGCTGCCTGCGCACCTTGGCGCTGTGGCCCTACTACGTTTCCTTGCTGGTACAGGGACTGGAGTTTATCGAGTACTTCACCCGCGACGGGACGATTCCGAAGAACGTCCTCGTCTTCTACAAGGCCTTCTTCAAGCTGATGCTCGTTCTCACCCACGACTACTCGCGCTTCCTCATCACCTACCACTACCAGTTCTGCGACGCCATTCCGCCGTACTGCGTTCAGCTGCTCAACACGGTCTTGTGCTCCTTCCCGTCTGGGGTGAAGTTGCCGGAGTTCTTCCTGCGCGTGCCGGACGACAGCCCCGAGATGCGGAAGCCGCTGAACACGGAGAATCAGGTGAAGTGCATCGAGGAGAGCTTCTTGCTGCACGGCTTCGACGGCAGCCAGTTGGCGGAGCAGATACGCGGCGAGCGCCCGATGGATGAAGCTTACATGCGGGGCGTCGTGGAGAAGCTGCAGTCACTTAACACCTGGCGTTTGATGAACGCCGTCGTTCTCCACGTCTGCATCGTGTACCTTGAGCAGACGGAGCTCGTCATCAAGCCGGACTTCGCCGAGTCCAACGCCATGCAATTCTACCGCTACCTCGCCGTCGCACTGGACCACAAGCACCGGTACCACTTCCTCTGCTCCTGCGCCAACCACCTTCGCTACCCGAACTGCCAGACGAACTTCTTCGTGAAGGTCGTCCTGCAGTTGTTCCTGCCACACCCGTCGATCCGCAACCCGGCAACGCGGCTCTGCATCCAGGAACAGATTACCCGCGTGGCGGTGGAGAAGACTCTCATCTTTCAGCCGCACCCGTGGGGTGTGCTCAGCACGTTTATGGAGCTCATGCGAGCGCCAGAGTACGGCTTCTGGGAGAAGAGTTTTATCAGCTGCACATCGTTCCTAGAGAACATGTTCCACAAGCTGCGCCGCTCTGTCGAGAACCGAAACGCACAGCAGCAGCAGCAGCAGCGACAGCAGCAGCAGCAACAACAGCAACAGCAACAGCAGGCACAGCAACAGCAGCAGCAGCAAGCAGCGGCGGCAAAGAAGGCTTGAGGCCAATGATGGCAGGGTATGCTCTTCTGAGGGGGAAAAAAAAGGTTAATGCGACCTTCAGCCCGCTTCGCGACGCTACTTCGCCCGCTACACAGCAGCACTTCTCAGCAGGAGCTATACATGCGTATGTGTGTGTTCAGGCAATGTCTCTGCATGTATCTATGAATCCCTCTCTCTCCTCTCGTGTCGTTGCCTGCGAAACTAATCACGGCGACAACAAACGCGTCTGTGCGTCGTAGAGAAGGAGGCTAGGGAAAAAAGCAACGACGGCGGCGAATTGCCGCAGGAGGGCCCCCACCGGGGCCTGCGGCTGCAGGCGGGAGGGGGGTGGGGCGGGGCGACGGAACCACAATTTGAAAATTAAAACAACATCAAATCCCCCTTCCCTCCAAAAAAACAAAAACAAAAACAACATCAACATAACAAACAAACTAAAATACGAACGAAAAAAGAAACACATAAAAAAAGTAGTGATACAACCGTTTATGAGACATTGCGTTGTGCGAGGCGTGGTGGGTGCAGGAGGGATGACAATAAACCAAACGAGCGCGAGGGCAGCAGCAGCAGCAGCAGCAGCAACAACAACAAAAATAAAAGGCGGGAAACAGAGAATGTACACATTACATATATACATATATATATATGTATGTAATGACCACCGAGACGGTCAGCGAGTGTGCAGATGCCGCTAAGGCACAACTAATACAACGCCCGGGTCGTCACGAAACAGAGAGGAAAGCAATGAATTGGTACAAATGTTAATAATAAAGAAGATGGGAGCCGCAGAGAGAGAGGGAAATGAAAAACAAAAAAAGAATAGAAAAATAAAAAATAAAATAACGTCACATGTAACGAGAGGCTTCTTCTCACCGTTGCGAGAAATTCAGCAGCCGGTGCCCCATGTTGAAAGTTACGTGCTATATATATATATATATAAGACGTACACCGCCGTCCCTCCCTCGCCCACCCCTCTCCGCTCTTCCTGTGGGAAGGGATTTCGTAAGCGACTCTCCCGCCTTTCTTTCTCTTCTTTTTTTTTTCCCCCTCCCCCTCCTTTCCCCCGCCTGGTCTCTTCTTTTTTCTGTTTTCCTTCCCGGCTTTTTTTTTGTTTCGTTGTTTAGCTTCGCCTTTTTTTTTCACAACGGCTGCGTGTTTGTGTTTCTGGTGGCGAAGCAAGTCACCGTGCGCGGAGTGCGAGGGGAGGGGCTTGAGGTGCCAAATAAAACGGCATTTTACTACTTAAATACATGTAGACATCTTCCTTGGCTGTTGCTGGGCCGTCGACGAGGTCCGCCGCTGCGGTCGCTAACTATTAGAAGTGGCTGCGGGAATGAAATACTCCTCCCATTCCTTTTTTATTTCAATTATTATTATTGCTTTTTTTTCTTTCCTTCTTGCTTTTGCGTGTTTTGTTTCTTGTTTTGTTTCTGCTCTTAATCTTATTTCATTCTACAAATGTACTCAGCGGTTTCACCCCCTCACTCTTCCCCCCTTTTTTTTCTTTCTTCTTTCTTTTATTGCTTTCTTTCTGCCTCTATCTCTCTCTCTCTGCTTCTCTGCCCGCGCGTGTCTCGCAGCAGCGGCCGCCGCCGCCGATCCCCGTTGCCGCCCCGCTTTTTTTCCTCCTCTTTTTTTTTTTTCCTCCACGCCGCTGCAGAGCCGCAAGTAGGGAGCGACAGCAGCGCGCAACAGGCACCGAGCAGGTGGAGGGCAACCGGGAGGGGATCAGCGTGGGCCGTTTCCATTTGCGCCGCGCGTGCCAACCCACGGACGCACACGCACGCAGGCACGCCTACGTAAATCGTTTTGTTTTTGTTTTGCTTTTTTTGTTTTTGTTTTTCACCCGGTAACGGGAAGGGAAGGTCAAAGCGCACTAAAGAGAGGGAGAGGGAGAGGAAGGAAGTAAAGAAAAAAAAACAACAAGATAAAAAACATAGTTTGTGGGAGCGGTGATAGTTGTTGGTATCAACTTCAGAATCCGCAGAGGGAGAGGGGAATGAGTCTAAGGCTGTTTTCAGAGAAGGCGAACACGCAGGCGCTCAAGGCGTTGCTCTGCTGCTACTATGCGAAGCGTCCGGTGGAGCTGACGCTCTCTGGGGCGCACACACTTCCAGTGCTGCATCACCCGGCGTTCAAGAAGCCCATTTTCGCCGCGAACGAGATGGCGCATGTGATTTTGCACTACACTTGCAGAGATGGATCGACTGATTGGAGTGGCAGCCGGCCCGACGGCGGTGGCGGTGGCGGTGGCGGCGGCGCCTTGGCGAGTCTTTCGCTGGAGGAGGAGGCCTGGATGGAGTGGGAGGCGACCACCTTCACGTGGGCGGTGCGTGCGTTGTACACCCAGCGCCGGGCGACGCCGGAGGCCACCGCGGCGTTTGACTACCTTGACAACAAGCTCAGCGAGAACAACTGTCAAGGCCTGTGTCTGGCCTCTCCAGCAGAGGGGGCGGAGGCGACCGCGTCGTTTCTTATCGACTGCATCATTTGGTGTGCCGTCCTGCCGGCACTCTGCGAGGGCGGTCTGCTGAGCGAGCGGGAGCGCGAGCAGGTGCCACATCTGTTGAAGTGGTTTCAGTCGTTCCAGGCGGCCAGAGGAGAACTTATCGCTGGCGCCCTTGAGGCCCTCGCGGTGCAGGAGGTGGCGGATTTTTTGCGCGCCCCCCGCGTGTACAAAGTATCCCCGAGCACCAGCAAAGTCTTCTTTATCACGACGCCTATTTACTACGTGAATGCCGCCCCGCACATTGGCCATGTCTACAGCACCCTGATTGCCGATGTCATTGCCCGCTACCACAGCATAAAAGGGGAACGCGTCTTTGTGATGACTGGGACCGACGAGCACGGGCAGAAGGTGGCAGACGCCGCTCGACAGAAGGGCGTGACGCCGTACGACTTCACAACTGCCGTGTCCAAGGAGTTTAAGGAGTGCTTTGCGCAGATGGGCTACAGAATGGACTACTTCATCCGCACCACGAATGAAAGCCACAAAAAAGTTGTGCATGAGCTGTGGTCGAAGCTCGAGGCGCAGGGGGACATCTACCTGGGTCGCTATGAGGGTTGGTATTCGGTGAGTGACGAGTCCTTTTTGACGGCGCAGAACGTCACAGACGGGGTGGACAAGGACGGCAATCCGTGCAAGGTGAGCCTTGAGAGCGGCCACGTTGTGACCTGGCTGGCGGAGGACAACTACATGTTTCGCCTCAGCGCCTTTCGCGAGCGACTGCTGGAGTGGTACCATAACAATCCCGGCTGCATCGTCCCGGAGTTCCGCCGCCGCGAGGTCATCCGTGCGGTGGAAAATGGCTTAAACGACCTGAGCCTCTCGCGCACGAAGGAGTCCGTGCACAACTGGGCCGTACCGGTCCCTGGCGACCCAGACCACTGCATCTACGTTTGGCTTGATGCCCTCTCCAACTACTACACCGGCTCACGCCTCCGCCTAGACGAGTCCGGGGAGGAGCTGGAGCTTGTCGAGGACTACCGTCAGCTGGAGCGTTTTCCTGCGGACCTGCACGTCATCGGGAAGGATATTTTAAAGTTTCACGCCATTTATTGGCCGGCCTTTTTGCTTTCGGCGGGTCTTCCTTTGCCCAAAACAATCGTCGCCCATGGCTGGTGGACCAAGGATCACAAGAAGATAAGCAAATCCCTTGGCAATGTCTTTGACCCCGTGGAGAAAGCCCGGGAGTTTGGCCACGACGCACTCAAGTATTTCCTTCTGCGCGAGTCCGGCTTCTCCGACGATGGCGACTACAGCGACAGGAACATGGCTGCCCGCCTCAACGGCGAGCTCGCCGACACCCTCGGCAACCTCGTGATGCGCTGCACCTCCGCCAAGATCAACGTCCATCGTGAGTGGCCGGTCCCTGCCGCCTACAACGGCAAGGATGAAGTGCTTATTCAGCTCATCAAGGACCTGCCTGGGACGGTGGACCACTTCTTCCTTATCCCTGACGTGCAGAAGGCGTTGACGGCCGTGTTTGAGGTGCTGCGCGCCATCAACGGCTACGTCACGGAGAACGCGCCGTGGCAGCTGGTGAAGACGGATCCCGAGCGACTGCGGACGGTGCTGTACATCAGCATGGAGGGCGTTCGCCTGGCGACGCTCATGCTAAGCCCCGTTCTCTCAGAGAAGGCGCCCGTCATTTTTGACATCTTGGGAGTCCCAGAGGCGAACCGCAGCGGGGTGGAGAATTTTGAGTTTGGCGTCGTTCCCAGCGGGACGCCCATCGGCGGCATGGCGGAGGGCGAAGTGTTGTTTCCAAAACGCTCGCTGGACGACGCGCAGGCCGCGTAACTCCCGCTTCCATACTTTGTTGCTTCCTTCTCCCCTCCGCCCCCTCCCTTTTTTTTTGTTGTTGTTGATTCTGTTTTGCGGCTGGTTTCAGTTTCTTCCCTCGGCGCGAGGGCGGATACCGCGGCCGCAGACGGCGGGGAGGAGGGGCGAGGAGGGCGTAATGCGTACGCGGGTTCGCGAGCGAGAGGGCGAGAAGTGCACCGAGGACGAAGGAAGGGAGAGCAGGGGAGAGAGGAGGGTAAAACAACAAAAAAAACAACAAAAAAACATATCAGACATGACACCAGGGGAGGGGTGAAGAGGGGGTGGGCCCCCCGATGTGCGGGGACTGCGCAGGTAACTGCAGCAACACTACGGGGCACGCCGCGGCGAGGTGCGGGTGCGGGTGCGGGTGTCCGGCAAGACACTCGCTGCCCTGGCGACGCCGGCCACCTCCACGGCCTTCCGCAGCAGCAACAAAAACAACGGGAATAATAATAAAGAAAAGAGGAGGAGCAAAGGAAGACATATATACATGTAGGGGCGAGGCGGTGCTGCGGGGTTATAGTCGTGGACACAGAAGAAAAAAAAAAAAAACAAAAAAAGTCGCAGGGGATTGAGAGCTGAGGGAAGTAGGGGCAGGGAGAGAAGCGGAGCGTGGCCCCCCTCTCCCTCCGTGTGCCTCCCGGCGCGATGGGAGGAGGATCGCCCATGCGCAGATGTCGGACGGTATAGCGGCAACTACCTTTGCTACGAGTGTGGAAGCCTTTTTTGTTTTTAGCACCGCGGTTTCTCGTTCACTGTACCTCAATAAAGTCTTTTTCTTTTTTGCGCTCCTTCAGTTGTTGTGGTTGTTGTTGTTGTT